TAGACAGAGTTGGACTATTTTTCTGAGCTTAGAGACAGGTTTGTGATCTTTTGACTATCTTTTATTCCACTCTCTTGTAATGCCATTGGCGATGCCTTTGCAAAAGAGGCATGTGCATGTGGTCATATTTTTTCCCATGTAGATCTCAACGAGTCGGTCGAAGTAACTCCATTTGGAGCTTACTTTACCAACCAACTTTGATTTAGTGTATGACGTTTGTTGAAAAAAAAAAAAATAATGCCTTAGATATTATTGAAGAAACTCCCCATTGGGGTACTCTTTTTTTTTGGCTTCAAAGTGATCTTGTATTACTCTAAATTTTGTACAATGGAGTAAGTATTGTTTGGCCATTTAACAACATATTCTTGATTATGTTTCCTAGCATTTCTAGCAAGCCAATCAGCAAANGTATTTGCCATTCTTCCAATATGCTTGAACTGAAACCTCCTTCGCTTAGATACATGATTGATATCCGCAATGTAAACCGATAACAACCCATGCTGCATCTTCTGATGTGGCAAATACTTATGATGCGTTTGTAATGGCTTGTATAGACACTGCAAATCTCCACAGAAAACTACATCATGATAACCAATCCTTGCTAGTGTTGAAACGGCCATTCTTAACGCTTCACCCTCAGCTTCCATTGCACTTGACAGGGGTTTTATAGTTCCCGAGCCCTGAATTAGGATTTTTTCTTGTTTATCCACAAGCACCCACCCTATTCCAGCTGCATTATATTGGGAGACCCATGAGGCATCTACGAAACAACATAGATGCTCTACATGTTGAACCACCTAATGAACATCTTTCATGACAACAACAGAATTAGAGACATTATGATTTGAACCTGGACTGGAATGATTTTCCTCAAACTGTTGTGCTTCTTTCCAAGTCCTCAATTCAGCTAATGCTCCTCCAATGATCTCTGGAATGCGTCTTCTCAAACCCTGGAAAAACACTTCATTACGATGTTTCCAAATTTTCCAGGACAAGTAATGAAATAACTGAACTCGTTTTGCATCCTCACTATTCATCCTCTAAAAACTCTCATAATTTTGATNCAGACTTTGTATCCGAAGACTACAATTATCAGGCTTGTTTACAGGGGCAATTTCCCATATTTCCTGACTAAGCCTACAATTAAACAACAAATGATTGATGTCCTCTTTCTCTTCTCCACACATTGGACATAAGGCTTCCTGAACTATTCTTTTCCTTCTCAAATTCTCTCCTACTGGCAGCGCATCATTAAGAACTCNCCACCAAAAGTGTCTTACTTTAGGAGCTATATTGATTNGCCAGATACTCTTAAAANAATCTATNGGAATTTGAGAAGATTGTCCCTTACTTGACCTAAGAAACTTATACCCTGACTTAACAGAGTATACTCCATTATTGTTATGCAACCAAACCAATTTGTCAGATGCTCCAGATATAGAAGGTCTAACTTGACAAACTAAAGCAGCATCTTCAGAGTTAATCAACCTTTGAATTTTCTCGCAATTCTATTCTGAAGTTCCTGCTATCATAAGCTCCTTAACCTTCATGTTTGAATCCATGTCTTTCCCTGGACCTGACAAATAATGAACTTGATTATTAGAAATCCACTTATCCTCCCACACAGAAACCTGCTCACCATCCCCTATTATCCATCTACTCCCTTTCTGAATTAGATCTCTTCCTTTTAAGATGCTTTTCCACGCATAGTTAGAAGTAGACCGTTTAGGGGCAGACGAAAAAGAGAT